CGAAAAGGAAGAACCTTGTTATAAATAACAGCTACCAGCATTTAGTGAACACTTACTTTGTGCCAGGCACAGTGCCAGGCACATTTCTAGGCATTACCTCATTTAACCTTCTCAATAATTCCAGGAGGCAGACACCATCACCATCCCTGTTCTGCAGGGAAGGAAACTGAGGGTGAAGGAAGGTTACAGGGCATTTCCCAAATTGTGCTGAGTGGTACATGGTGGCAAAAAAATATTAATTGATGTTAGGAAAAAAAGAGTTTCATTGTTAAACGCTGCATCCTGCATCCGCCCCCCCCCCGCCCCCACCGCCCCAGGGAAATTCACAATGCATGCCAATATACTAAATGCCCTGAGGAGTCCTGTAGTAAAGGTATCTGTTTAAAACAGTCAGCGTCACTTCTGTTGCAGGTCTCACCAAACTATTGATCACGAAAGCAAAGTTTGGGGAATGCAGATATTACTCATGCTTCGCATTTTATGGAGGGAGTAAGGGAGGTCCAGGCAGTGCTTCAGGTGCAGACCAGGCACAGATCTTGAGCCCCGTGCCCTCTGTACCCCACAGAAAACATACAGCAGAGGAAGGCAAACTATGGCCCACTGAGCCCACTATCTGTTTTTGTAAATAAAGTTTTATTGAAAATTATCTGATCTAGCTGCCTGCTTTACATACGAGCCAACTTAGGCCCAGCGAGGATGGCTGACTTGTCCAACGTCAATGGCCAATTAGGGGCAGAGGCAGAAATAGATCCTAGCTCTTTAAAATCCAGGTATTCTCCAAAACACAAATCAGACAGTTGGCGGGAGGTAGGGTATAAAGTTCCGTGATACCTGTGATACATGTTCAAGGCATTTCACCTGCTGCTTTGGGTAAAGTCCCCCTGGCCTGAACTTCCTGGGGACCTCCTCTGCTCTCCACCTGTGTCTCCTAGAGGGCCGAACAGGACAATCCGTGTTTATTTAAGTTCTGTACCCGATGCAGGAAAACGTTATTAACTTCACCTCTGCCCATGTGAAATGTGAGATCATTTGGACAGGAACCTGGCAGAAGGTAACCTTTGCCTGTTCCAGGAAGAGTTTGCCAAATGAATAGCGTAAACAGGAGACTAAGGGAGTTGTTTGAAACCACTTCAGAAAATAAATTATGTTCAAGGGCTCTTGGGCCTCCCCAAAGTATGCTGTCATATTTTAGTCACCTATTTACATTTTTCTTATGTGCGTGTGTGTGTGAGTGTGTGTACAGTTGAATAAACAAATGAAATTATTCTTATCTCACCATTAAAATGGCTAATGCATAGAGTACTTTATTAACCTTGTTTGAAATGTGAACAATTTAAAATATCTACAGATTTAAACATATTAGTTCAGATAGGACCATCCAGCAAGTGGTAGTAACCAGGAAGATTTTATTAATCTCTGAATATAGGGGAGGGAGGTGTCTTACTGACCAAGGCAAGCCAGAGAGCTAAAGGTTCATCTAGAAACAACTGTAGGGACAAGAGGGCATAAACAGTGGCCTCTGGGTGAAGGCTCTTCCTGGGGCAGCCAGACTGCCCAGATGGCCTTTCCAGAGCTGGGAACAGCAGACTTGTCACTGAGGTGGAGGGTAAAAATAGTCCTGTGTGGGTGGCAGCTGGGCCCAGAGGCACTGGCTTCCTTATCTCTAGAGCGGGGAGGCAACCCAGTTGACAGGCACCTTCTTAGGCTCTTCAGGCCTCTCCCTGTTGGGGAGGGTGGGTC